AAAGCTTACACAAAAAAAAAAATAAATAAATAAAAAAATAAAATAAAGTGCTTGCAAGAAAAACAAAATTCCCAATATTCTCAAAACCTTTATTCTAAAAAAATTTAAAAAAAAAAAAAATTCTGCTTATCTGTAAGAAAAATTATGGGTACCACCTATCAATGTCAATAATGTTTCTCAATAAAAATACAAGAGTCACTGATTGAAAACTTAGAAATTCCCTTTGACAAATTAAAAACTTCAATAACAGATCTTCTTGATGTCAAAAACAGAATTGATAAGAAATAACAAAATCTCTTCAAATTTGCATTTGACAAAACATTTTAAAACACAATAACTCATGTTTATTCTGGAAATTTCTACAAAGATAAAATAATTTGATAACCTATTTCAATCCAAAGACAAAAGCTAGAAAAGACGTCATCATTTCCTTATTATTATGATGATGATGAGGGCGGGGGGTATTGGAAAAAGATCAAACTGTACATCATGTGCTTGTAATATTCAACAGAAATGTGAAAACAGCTAATGCTCATTAATACTCCAGCCTGCTGAGTCAGACAGCCAATGAGCTTTGAGCTATCAATTATTATGCATGGTTTTGCAGTAACATCCTCATCGTCTTAATGACGGCCGAGAAATTTGAACAACATGCCAGTCTTTGTTTTTATGTAAAGCTCAGTAAATCCTATATCAAGAGTGAAAATGATTTTGTCAGACGGACAAAGTGTGGTTTTCAGATGAGAAGTAATCAGAAAGAAGAATCATCAGGAAAATAAGAGCAAGAGAGAAAAAGACGAAGATTTTTTTTTTTTAAGCATATGGCCCCAAGCAAGGCGAGAGTGCCACTAGTACACAAGGGATTATGGAGAGTGAGAGTAAGAGTAAAGACGGGTGTTTGGGGAAAGGATATAGAGAAGGACAGGGATCAAGATCAAGGCATCGGAAGATGTCAAGTGGCATCACATTTGAATATTTCAAGATTACAGCTGTCAGGGAAGCAAGTAAGAGGAAGGGAGTTCCACTGTTGGAAAGTGCAACATAAGCTGTTGGAGTATAAAAGATGGCAACATTTAACCATTTCAACAGTGAAAGGGTGGGACTGAGATGCCAACCTAGAAGCACGCTTAAATTCATGTAATAGTTTGGGAATCAGAGAAAGTAGCTCATCAGAGCAGTTGATATGAAAATATTTGTAGGAAAGAAGAAACCATGGCATGTCTGTAAGAAAGAGACTGTAGACGAGATGCCAGATCAAGACCTATCACATTGCATATCCTTGTCTGGATTTTGTCTAGGACCTAGAGATGAAGGCCTCAGACTATATATGGTAATAGTACAAACATACCCACAAAAAAAAAAAATAAATAAATAAAATAAAATAAGATATAAAAAAAATAAAAAAATTGTGTCAAAAGAATGTTTTTTTTTTCTCTTCGACACCACTATGACCTGTATACACCCTCAACAATCTTTATTCTTTTCAAAAGTTATTTTCAGAATTCTAATGAAAACTAAACAAATGAAACTGGATTTATACATTTTCTTTTTAGTTAAACATCAACAACAGACATTTAAATTAAAATATTTACTCATTTAATAATGAATGTATAATAATAGCTAAATATCCTGTGGAAAATTAAAAAAAAAAGAAGTAATCCGAGATGTAAAATAACACTGATCAGAAAAAAAAAAAAAAAATTGAAATGGTGTCAAGACAAACATCTAATTTGAGTGTACTGAATCAGAAAATGACTTTTTCTTAGTTAGCTACCATTTTTGCTGCATAGAATTGCCTCATTTTTGGAAAAAAAAAAAAAGCATTTTTTTTTTTTTGTTTCTGTATATATGATATTGACCGATGGCAAAATTTCTCAAAATAAAATCGTAGAAACGTCTCAATTCATATTTAAACCAACAAATATTGGTCTGCTTATTGAGAAATATTATTTTTGCAACAGCAATCAGACCCTGTCTTTAAAAATAACACGATAGCAAGACCAACAAGTATTTTCATTAAACCATTTAATAAACTAACAGCAGAAATAAAACCTTCATGAACATAAGAACTATGGTAAACATTTTCTTTCTTGATTGTCTGTCATGTTCAATGTTATTTAAATCCCTTTTGATATTCCAGCAGTACAATGGAATAGGTGCATTCAATTGGGATGTCTTTAGTTGGAGTTTCTTTCCAACTGTGAAAACAAAATGCTCTTAATGTGCTTGGTTTCCTTCCATAGTGAAGTTATAAAAGTGATGGCATAAATTTATGAATATCAAACAGAAGATTTTAGGGTTTCATTTTTTTTTTTATGTCACCTTAATTATCATGTTTACTAAAGTGTGTTACTGATAAAGCTTATCAGTTAATTTGAATTTGGCGATAACTTTGAAAACTTCAGTACATCTATTTAAAACTTTTTGACTCAAAACATTTCTTTTTATAAAAAAGTTTCTTTCAGGTAAGCTGACATAAATTGCTCAGCTTACCTGAAAATTGAGGGGTTTCTACAACCTTTATTAACTAAATTTTGCGATCAGTCAAGATCGTAAATTTTTTTTCCAAAAATGAACAATTTCAGTACAGCAAAAATAGTAACTAACCATGAAAATCTAAGATCATTTTCGGAATAAGCACCATCAAATTATCTAAAAAACGTATTTATTCCTTGCAACAAAAACATGTTGATTAGTATAATTTATAATGTCCAAAAAATGCATTTTTTTCAAAATTTTTAATTACAGTTACTCATCACTGTTTATTTAAATTTCTTTGTTCAAAAAAAAAAGGTGTTTTCATAACAATTTCTTTATAATATGGTAAATAATAAAATATCACATTGTAGTTGGTTCACAAAGTTTTCTAATCTTATTAATATAAAATTATTCTTCTAAATAAATAATTTATTAAAATAAATAGTTTGTAATACATTTCTTGTCAATTCTCAAGAAAAATGAAAATATATTAATCCAGTCTTATACATGTGGGTTTTATTAAAATTCTAAAAATATTAAAAAAAAAAAAAAAGTTTCCAAAGGTACCTACAGTCATCAACAGAAAAACTCTCCTTTTGACCTAAAATTTTTTTGCAGTTATGTTTAGTAGACTTTGCTAAAATTGCTTTATCCCCAACTATTTGGAAAGCGGTAGTGGACAAATTTAAGTAATAACTAAAATATTTCATTTATTTTATTTACTGAAGCAATAATGTCTCCAAAAGGCTTTCTTTCAGGTTCTTTTCTGATCTCACCTCATGAATACTCATTTGTTTAGGATCAAAGAATATAAACAAAGCTCTGCACTTTCATTTCAAAACTTGAACTCCTCAATTTGTATTAATTACTTAACCCTTTCAGCCGTGCGTTCCTGAACAATTTTAACCCTTCTGCTTTAACCCCTGAATCAAAATTCACAAATAATTGGTATGTAATGTTTCACGGTAGATATAAAATAGTTACAAGTGTTTACCCACCATTCAACTGGTGGCTTGGAATTAAGTCATTTTTCTCCACCACTGTTCAACTGGAGGCTGAGCATTACATCATTTTTCTCTATCGCCCGTAAAGCAGTGGTCAGGGCTCAAAGGGTTAAACACAAGATTAAACCAGAAAAAAAAAAAAAAAAAAAAAAATCCTTCAAAATTTCTGTCAAAGAGTTCAGAAGCCAATAAACAGTCTCACCTCAAGCGTATGTCCGCATCTCTTAATTCTAGCAAGATATGTAGTTTACAAAATTCCAATTGCTAATTAAATTATTTTACATACACTTATTTATTCAAAATGGTGTCCTTAACTTGGTTCTTATAGTCACAGTTTGGCCATTTTGTTTTCTGTCCTTCTTCAGATATGTCATACCTGTTAAGAATTTTTGAACAAAACCTTTTATTCAATCCATTGGATAGATAGTTCTCAAAGGATTTACTTCAAAAGGTTGCAGATTACCAAATACTAAATAATCTGCAAAGGTTGAAGGAAAAACAATAAAAAATGTTGTAGCTATGACAAACATGATGAGGACATCAGTTTGAATAAATTTGGATATAGTAAGTAGTTTTAGACTGAAATTTTCTCAAAAAGACAACAAAATGAATATTTTATTTTTTTTAACTACTTTTTAACATAATAAAATTAAACAATCAATAAAATATGATTCAATCAAGTCATAAAATTTAGAAAATATTTCTGAGCATAATCATCATTATTTGATGTCATATAAGATCATTTACGTTTAACATTATGGTGTTTGGCTACATACAAATGCTCTGCTTGTCTGTTGTGTATGGGTAAGCATTAGCCTACCAGGTATCATAGCATTGTATATAAGATGCACAATAGTTTTTTTGAGAGATTTTCAATAAAAAAAAAAAAAAAAAAAACACACACAGACACATACACAGTGGATGCCATCAAATATAGCATTTCTGATTAAAATTGGAAGAATTTTTCCTCCTCCTGATTCCCCAAACTGTAATTTAATTTTTTATAACAGAAAAACAAAAACAACCAGTTAATAATTATTAAAACCAAAAAGATTAAACATATCTGATAGAAGAAGAAACAAGAGGTCAGTTTTGTTTACAGAAGGAATATATTAAAGGAATAATATTATAGAAATAATATTTCTACAATATTACAGATATATATTTCTATAATATTATAGAAATAATACTTCTGTAATATCAGAGAAATAATAATACCTCTGTAATATCATAGAAATATAATACTTCTGTAATATCAAAGAAATATTAATACTTCTGTAATATCATAGAAATATTAATACTTCTGTAATATCATAGAAATATTAATACTTCTGTAATATCATAGAAATATTAATACTTCTGTAATATCATAGAAATATTAATACTTCCGTAACATCATAGAAATATTAATACTTCCGTAACATCATAGAAATAATAATATTACAAATAATATTATAGAAATATATATTACAAATAATATTATAGAAATATTATTTCTATAATGTTATACAAACAATATTATAGAAATAAAAGATAACGTTTTAATTGGGAAGGAATTGGAAGAGCATTAATTCGCTCTTGCAAATAACTTCCTCGCATTCTATTTCGAATAACTGTCCGACAAAAACACTGCAAAGAACGCGGTGTCTTCAGCCATCGGACAATATTATTCATCTGAGAGATGGTATCAGTAACATTTTCACTAGATTCATCAGAAAACGTGGAATGGATAAACATTTCATTATATTTGTGGAGATAATCCTCATTCTTCAAATCATAGCCGCTCTCTAGCAACAGACGACAGTTTGCATAGTCTTTGTTGTGCACAAGATTTGCGAGTGGCGTCCCCTGCCCAAATATAACTTTATTGTTAGGGATGCAGCCAACTTCTATAAGCCGAGACACCACTGCTGAGTGACCATGGAATGTTGCATAATGAAGAGCTGAGGAACGAAGCCGATCCACCTTGTGGGGGTTAGCCCCATTCTTAATCAAGCATGTTACTATCATGTCACAGCCTCTCATTGCAGCAAAGAGAATCGGGGTCACATTGTCACGATCTACACAGTTCACATCTGCTCCATGTTCAATAAGATAGATTGCGACATCTCTCTGATGACCCATGCAGGCCCAATGAAGAGGGGTGCGGCCAAAGCAAGGGTCTTTATGATTAATTAGAGCACCTGCATTGACCAGGTACTGAACAATGTCCAATCTACCAGCATAAGCTGCCTCAGACAGAATTGTTGTGCTGTCTCTGCGATCAGGATTATGAAGGACAGAGTTCACACCAATGCCACTGCTAATGAGACGGTGGACTGTGTAGAGGTCATTCCTGGAAATAGCCTGAAACATTTGGCTATCCCAATCAAAGTTCATTATAGGTACCATCAAGCCAGTGGGTAACCTGAAAAGACAGAAAAATAAGATTTTAAAAAATTAGTCATGAGCAATTGAGAAAAGCATTTTTGGTATGGTGTCATATTCAATTTACACATGCACAAATGAATGCAAAGCACATAATCAAGTAACCAATAAGTAGGCAACTAAGCAGCAACAGAAACCAAAGAAAAGATTCTTTTCAGATCACGTCAACCTTCCATGTAGTCAAAGGAAGTAAATAAAATGTTTTTCATTTGACTGAATAAATTATTTTTAACTATTGTTCATTCGATACAAGGCCCAAGAGTCAGTCAAGATAGAAGAATCAATGATTAAGATTGTTATAAAGGCATAAAAGGGGGAAGTAAGAAGTGCATATTATGGGAATATATAAAATAAATAACAGTTGACCCTAGAACTTAAAATGTTAAGATTTTAGTGATCAGAGAAGCATCCTCTCAGGAGTCCTCTCCAAAAAGTGACCATTCTGAGGAAGAAGCTGTTTGAGTAAAACTTCCATGTTGCCAATGGAATAGAATGAGGATGAGTTGAACCTCTGTATGTAGCATGTGACAAATATGTCACTCTTTTGCCCCACACAGAGAAACTAAAACAAGCAGTGTGAACAGGTGAAAATCATGAGTTTTACTTGTAATATTTCCTGAAAAAAAAATGGCTGGGACAGTGGCATTGTATGTTTGTTGGTGGGACCACATGGTTTCTTTCTATTCACTTAACCGCTATGGGCAATCATATCTGCTTTCTTATGGTCTACTCCACAACTGAGGCTTCTCATCCAATGAGATGAAATCATTCTTTGACCATCACATGACACTAGTGAATTTGTTTTACCAAAAAATATATAATTCCCTCCCCACATCCCTCCAACATTTTTCTTGCATTCTTTTCGATAATTTAGATATTTCCATATAAATGAAGAAGTAGTGTATTACACTTTCTTTTTTACGATTGAACATGCACCTGATTCATGTGTTAAAGCAATTTGATTTACTTGTAAATCGACCAACACTCGTAAAACCATTAAATGTCCATTTAGTAGAGATCAATTAACCACTAATAGCAAAAAGCAAGTAAATCTCTTAACCTCAACAGAGGTGCAAGGGTTAGGGTTGTAAGGATGTGCAGACAGCATATAGAATCACAGAATAAGAGAGCAAAGTTCAGATTTCAGTCAGGTTCATTGCATTCAAATGTACAAAATCCCTTAGGATAGGTATGATTCCATTTCCACCCCCATCTATGGCTTAAATAGTAGGATTAATATTTAGAAAAAAAAATGATTGTTATTCCAAAAAAATTATTAATAATATAATCAATTGCAAAAAAAAAAAAAAAAAAAAAAATTCTTCCAATCCAAAATATGATTTGACAATATGGGGGACATTAATAAAGAAAGAAAGAGAGAGAGAGATTGCAATAGGTTTTCAATGCCAGCAGGCAGGTTAGGTTTAAGGTTCCATATTATCACATAGAACAATAGCCTAGGGGATTAAAGTACTGGTTAGTGAATTTGGTGATATAGTAATTATGAGTTCAATCCCTGGGCCAGATAGTGTGTACTTGGACTTGGTGGCAACAGGACGAACAGTAACTGAGCAGTACTAAATAAGAACAATGATATGTGATATCCCTAGACATGGGCAGTAGAACAAAACCAATCTCTCTTAATTTGAAATCCCTTGTAGATTATCCAGATAGATATACACCTGATGAAAAACTCAAAACATTGTGATAACAACATCAACAAACTGCCCAGTTATTGCTCTCGTCCTGTTACCATAGAGCCCGATTCTGTCCACAGGACAATTTTTTGAAGGAGAAAAGTGGTGTTTCATGAATTTGGTAGCATAGTAATTCTGAGTTCAATCCCTGAGCCAGGTAGTACAAATTTGGTTTGGTTTGGTTTACAGCATATAAATCTCAAGGAGTTATTTAATGCCAACAATTTTTATTGCTGGTAATATTTTTTCCTTCAAAAATCTATTTCTGGGAATATCTTTTCTTTAAAAATGTATAGCTGGTAATTTTTTTTTTTTTTTTTCAAAATGTATTGCTAGTAACAAAAACAAAACAAAAAATAAATTTTTTATAATTTTTACTTTTTTAATAAATAATTTTTTTTTTTTACGGGTAAAGAGTGTGAATGACTGGGAAACTAATTTGAACATTTGAGGAATTGATATATTATTATTGATATGTTTGTATAATCACTACAATATGTTTTGTGTGCCTATTTTGTTTTTCATTGCTGTATACCTACTTTTGCATCCCCCTGCACATGACCTTAAAGCAACATTAGCCAGACAAGAGACATTTGGCACAAACATTAAACCATTTAGAGAATCCACAAATTTTCTTTTCTAGTGCCTTCCTCCACCAAAAAAGCAAAAAAAGATTTTCTTTGATTTATGAATAAGCAAACATTGATTTACAAAAAAAAAAAAAAAAAAAAAAAAAAAAATGATAATTAGCATCAATGCCTTTTGGTTTGGTCCCAGTTACCAGAAAATCTAGAAGAGATATTATTGCAATAACAAAGAGTGGCAATTTATTAATTACAACCAAGTTGGTATATTTAAAAGCATTCAGAAAATGATTTATAAATTTTTATATATGAAAAACAATAGGAAAATTTAGGACAAAGTGGAAATATTTTTTTGTGTTACACATTTCGTCCTTTAAGATTTCATCGGACTAAAGTAATGTTTATATTGATGTGATTATTACACATACATGAATGAGAGAAAACACTGAAATTTTAAATTTAAATTTTTTTATATCTTATATCTATAATTCTCAAAATGTGTGTGTGTGTGTGTGTGTGTGAACGGATGTTGTTTATGCATTTCCACAGTTTTCATCCAATTTCGACGAATTTTTTTTCTTTTTTGTTTGATAGATAATTCTTCAGTGCTGGTTTTGAGTTCAAATTGGATGGAAAAAAATTACACCTTTGAAGATGAAAAAAATTGAAAAACTGATTTTTTTTTTTACACTTTGCAGAAAAATCAAAGGCAAAATTTAATGTCTGTCAAAAACAGCATACAATCAATTTAGAGAGCTGAAATCTAACACAAAAGATTATTATAATTATAAAAAAAAATATATTATAAATAAAAATTACCATATATTATTATTATTATTATTATGACGGTCCATGGAAAAGGTTCCTTACTTGCAAGATTGAGAAAACAAAAACGCCTTTTTTTTCCATGGTCACCCCCTTCAAATTGTCAAAACTCATAACAGTGAAGAAAGAATAATATATCAAAAGATATTGCTGCATGGGCAAAAACGAACTGAGAGTAAAAAGAAGAAAAGAGAAATATAAAGCAAAAGAGAGAAAAGGGGGAAAAGAGAAAACCCTATTTCAGGCAAATGACTAAAGCTAAGTGTACTTTGACTTTTCATAGCAGATATATAATGCATACATCTTTCCACACAGAATGTATAGCAAACATTTTTCCATGCACTATCTTGCATGTATCGTTTTGTTACAATTAAATCTTATTAAATTATATATTGGCATTTGTTGTTTGTTACTCATTTGTGTATTTGACCCTGTAAGAGAATCCATTAACTATGGAGTGGCAAAACCATTGGTGATATCCACTGACAACAAATTGTTTTTTTTTTCTTTGGTTTCTAAATTTGGTGTTGTGACAATTTGTCCATAACATTGCAAAATGAGATTGTTATATGGATGTAGGATGGGGAAGCAGGGAGGTAAGTGCAGATTATGAGGATATGTATGGTAGGTAACAGTTGACCCTTGACATTAAGATTATAGTGATTGGAGAGGCATTTTCTTGGGAATCAGTTCCATAAATTAGTGTGTCTCGAAAAGAAATTGTTCAAATGGAACTTACTCCTTACCAATGGAATATGATTGAAATGAGAATCATTCACCCCCTGCATACGTGGCACAGCGGGCCATAGGTGTAAAGTTCTGAACTGGTGGAATGATAGAATGTAGCTCATCAGAACATGTTTCCTTGCAATAGCAGAGTACCAAGAGGCTTCAAGAGAGATTTTTTTTTTTTTACAGTTTATCAGTCTTTTGCAGGTTATTTAAAGCCAGAAAACATTTTTAGATTGTAAGAATATTTTGGAGGTAATAACAATTTTTACTGATACAAGTTCTACTAATTAACCAATAGCTGGGCAGAGAACAGATGGATTTATACGTTTCCCAAGGATGTTTGCACATAAGTGAATATAACGAACCTAACTGAAATTGGAACTCATCTCTCCAATTTCCAACTCCAAGCTGTTATCCATTACACCACCCACTTACAGCACCTAGTATTCCCAAGCAGTCACCCATCTATATACTGACCAGGTTTGACATTGCTTAACTTCAGTGATCATACGAGAACCAGTGTTAGTAAGTAGCTTGCAACATTGCAGCTGTAGGAGAGAGGCTGTAGAGTGGAAACTAATTTTACTTTCATGAATCTGCTACAGATAAAATAATAAAATAAAAACGGTAGCAAAAGATTTTTCTTGAAGATTCCAATGTAGCTATATAGATCTACCGAAATGAAAAGAATTATTTAAAAAAAAAAAAAAAAAAACACACTAAGATTGGCGCATTAATGTTTTCTAAAATATTTCTTAAAATACTAAAAAAGGTACCAGAGATGAAAGCTTCCAAATCCAAATCCAGATCCTTCTCATTCCTTGGGGGAAATCCACCCTGATTGATCAGGTCTTCAAAGGTGTAGTTGGAGGTTTTGAATTCAGTTTTTTGTTCTTCTAGACCAGATGCCACCAAAAGTATAAGACCCAGCCTGTTCTGCTGTTTATCCATAGCTGGGTGGGGAGAAGAAAAGATTGATTGATACCATTCCCAAGAGTATTTACACATAATTGAATGTAGTGAACTTGACTAGAATTCAAATTCAGCCCTCCAATTCCTCAATTTAAGCTGTAATCCCTTACTCCAGGCCTCCACAGTAATAAAGTACTGAAACAAGAAACATTGTAAAGTAATCTCCAAGGTGGGACGGGTCAGCCTGATTGAAAGAGCAGTACTTGAAATCTAAATTTTCAGACTGGCACTGGAGAATGTTACACAAGACATGCTACAGTGTGTTTGGCAGGAGCTCAACTACTGACTTGACGTATGTCATGTCACAGGTGGTGCACATATTGAAATAAAAAATCTACATCCCTTTGAATATCTTGTTCGATTTTAATTATTCAACATGTAGCCTATTTACTTTTGCTTGTGTGGGACATGTAGCTATTCAGATATTCACATTTTAAAATGAAGACATTTTTTTTGTAAGACCCTGTATATTAGATTTAAAAGAAAGCACCCACTGTGAAAGGAGAATTTATATCCAAACCAATGCTACACCCAAAAAGATTTATGCTGTGTTTTTTGTGAGATATGAAAAGAGTTGTCTATTTTGACATAGTTAATTGTCATCAATTGAAAGTATTGCACAAATCGCAGGAAGTGTGTCTATCATTGATTAATCACAAGTGTGTTTGTTTAAAACTTAACGACCCATCGATCAGCAAGAGATCATTTAAGGTCAAACAGTTGGTTTTTTTTTCTTTTTCTTTAAATAAAGTTGAAATGCTTTCAAAAAGACTTTCCTTTTCCTTTCCTTCTTTTTCGATGTTGTCTTGCTTTTTGTTTTTAAAAATTCACTGTTTTCAGAGGTGCGTTGTTCTTTGAAAATTTCTCACCTGGCAAGTATCAAAGTTTCCCCTTTCATCATCAGACACCAAATTGGAATTATATTTTATTATATAGTCCAACTTTCTTAAGAAAGGTCAAAATCAAATTGGGGTTTGATTTTTCGAAAAGTTCTTTCAAGTTGTTCACGTTGTAAAATAATTTTCGAATATGTGCCATGTCACCGCAATCAAGCAGGAAGTGCTTCACAGTATAAGCCTCCTGGCATGCTATGCATTCAGGAGGATCTTCGTCTTTTAAGAGGAAGGAGTGAGTTATGTGCGTGTGTCCTATGCGAATACGGGATAAAACCACTTCTTCTTTGCTTGATTTTCTGTGTTCAGTTAGTTGTTTCTTTAGAGAGGGTTTGATTTTAAATAATTTGTTGTTTTGACAGTTGTTCCAAGCGTCTTGCCATTTCTTCAAAATAAAGTCATTTATTAGGGGTTTATAGTCAGTGTATGAAACCTTTATGTTACTTGTGTTAAGTTTCAGAGAGTTTTTTGCAGCCACATCAGCTTTTTCATTTCCATGAAAACCAGAGTGGCTGGGAATCCAACAGAAAATGATGGTTTTATTTTGTGAGATCGCATGTATTCCATGTAGGAGTTTAATGAGCAAAGGATTGTTTAATTTTTGTTTTTTTAATGATTCGAGTACTGATAATGAGTCTGCAAAAATAATGAATTTATTTGAGTTAAGTTTAGTGATGAGGTCTAGAACTAAATCAATGGCTGTAATTTCAGCACTAAAAATTGAGAAGTTGTCTTTTCTGTAGAACAATACTTTTAAAGATAGCCGCACATCCTACTTTGTTTTTGACTTTGGAGCCATCGGTATATATGTGGGCCCAATTTGGGTATTGTTCCAGAATATCATTTAGTTTTTCTTTATAGTATAAGGGGTGTGTGTCAGATTTAGTGTGAGCAGCCAGTCTTAAAATGACGTTTGGTCGTTCCAAAAGCCAAGGTGGATGTTTGGGTAGCTTGAATTCATGTATACTATTTTTGTCTATCAAACTGTCTGTGAGTGGTTTTATCATTTTTTACATGTAAAGACCAAAAGGTTTGATAACATTTTCTTTTTTGACAAACAGATGTTTATAGTTTGCGTTGAATGTGCATTGATAGGCCGAATTTGATGGATTAGATTTGAGTTTTAGGTAATATTGTATATCTAATTTCTCACGTCTCAGTTTTAGAGGAGTCTCATGAGCTTCAACATATAGGCTTTCTCTGGGAGATGTTTTAAAGGCACCAAGAGCAAGTCTTAGACCTGTGTGGTGGATGGGGTCAAGAATTTTTAGGTAGGATTTCCTGGCCATACCATATATGAAACTTCCATAATCCAATTTGGATCTTATTAGTGTTCTGTATATTTTTAGGAGTGATATGCGATCTGCTCCCCATTCTATGTTAGCTATAACCCGCAAAAGTTGTAGTGTTTTGAAACATTTTTGTTTTAAGTATTTCAGATGGGGAATGAATGTGAGTTTTTTTATCAAATATTATTTCCAGAAATTTGTGTTGTTCGGTCATTTCTATTTCGGTTTCTTCTAATTTAAGTGTTGGGTCGTTGTGCATTTTTCTTTGATTACTAAAATGCATACACTTTGTTTTGGTTTGTGAGAGTTTCAAACCATTTTCAATGGTCCATTGATTTATTTTATTTATGCATATCTGCAGTTGACGTCCTGAGGTATGCATATTTTTTGATCTATGGCAAATTAAAAGATCATCTACATATAAGGAACCATTAACATCGTTGTTCAAACCGGTTACAATGTTGTTAATTTTTATGTTAAAGAGAGTGACAGACAAGATGCATCCTTGTGGGACTCCTTCTTGAATTTTTGAGTCTGAGAGAGTTGATCCTATTCTTACTTTGAAGTTTCTGTCGGATAAAAAGTCTTTTATCAACAAGGGTAATCTGCCTTTTAGGCCAAGGTTGTATAAGTCTTTCATTACTTCTTGTCTCCATGTAGTTTTGTAGGCCTTTTCTAAGTCAAAGAAAATGGCTATTACATGTTCTTTATTGATGAAAGCCTCTCTGATAAAGGTTTCTAAGCGGACTATGTTATCTATTATTCCTCTTTTATTTTGAAAGCCACTCTGTAATTAAATTATTGGTTTCCAGGTACCAATTTAGTCTTCTATTTATTATTCTTTCAAATGTTTTGCATAATCAGCTTGTTAATGTTATGGGTCTAAAGTTTTTGGGATCTGATTTATCTTTTTCTGGTTTTGGTATGGGAATCACAATAGCCTGTTTCCAGCTATTAGGTAGTTTTCCCTTGAACCATATTTCGTTAAAGATGTTTAACAAAAATTTAATGGATTGGGGGAGTTGTTTTTTAAAATTCATAATGAATTTCATCAGGACCAGTAGCTGTATTATGTGATTCACTTATGGCATTTATAAGTTCGTCTTTCGTAAAAGAAGGATTGTATTCTTCTTTGTTATTTGAATTAAAATTTAGTTTATTCTTCGTTTTTTCTGTATCCTGCTTAATTTTTTGGAAGAGCTGTCTGTAGTTTTTGTTAGAGGAATTGTTTTTGAAAGTTTCCACAAGTATGTTTGTTATATCTTTTGTTTCTGTTATATTTTTGTTATTTCACGTGAGATGGTTAAAAGAAGATAAATTCTTTCCAGAGATTTTCCTTACCATGTTCCAAACTTTTTTTGGTTTCATATTATAGTTTATTTTGTTTACATAATCTTTCCAGGATTTCCATTTGGCTTCCTTGATGACTCTACGTGCTACTGCTCTTTTTTGTTTGAAAAGATTTAAGTTTTGAGTTGTAGGTTGAGAGTTAAATTTCCGTAGTGCTGCTTTTCGTAGTCTTATTGCCTTTTTACATTCATCATTGAACCATGGTCTTTGTTGTTTGTTAGATCCCTTGCTTTTTGGTATGCATGTTCTCGCAATGTCTATTAAAGTTTCTGTGAAGTATTCGATGGATTTGATGGAGACTTCATTGTCTGAAAGTTTTTGTTGGCATTTTTTTTTATATTCTCTCCAATCTGCTTTATTTAGCTTCCATCAATGAAGATGGTTTTCAATTTCTTTTGAGTGTGTCAAAGTAATTGGGAAATGGTCACTACCCCATGAATCATCTAGAACATTCCAATCAAAGTCCATAAGTGTAGACGAGTCACAAAGTGATAGGTCAAGCACTGAATAAGTGTTTGATGCAGGGTGTAGGTATGTGTTAGATTTCTTATTTAGTAGGCATAAGTCATTGTTGTTAACAATGTTTTCAAGATTTTTGCCTTTTTTATCTGAGTATTTAGATCCCCATATAACACTGTGACTATTAAAGTCACCTAGTAATAAATATGGTCTTGGTAGTTGATCTATTAGGTTGTTTAGATCAGTTTCGTTTATGGGATCGTGTGGTGGGATATAAATGGAGCATATGTTGATGGTTCTGTGTAGAGTGGCCTTTGTAGCAATGGCTTGGATATGGGTCTTCAATTGTATTTTACTTTGAGGGATATCATTTCTAATTAGTATCAATACGCCCCCCCCCCAATGCCCTTTGATTGGGGTTATGAATGTAATTATATTGTGTATAGTTTTTTATTTTAATTTTATCATCAGTATTTAGAAAGGTTTCCTGTAAGCAGATGATGGTGGGGAGACGATTCATTATAAGCAGAAGTAACTCATTTATATTTGGCTTTAAGCCACGACAG